AAAAGTGCTTGGAACAAGGAGGGGGACACTTTCAGCAGCTGCTTTAATTTATTGTTATAACAAGGAGGGGGACACTTTCCGCAGCTCCTTTAATTGTTTGTTATTGTTATCACGATTATTCTTTAAAACCAAGTTATATAGTCATTAACGTTATTGAAACTGACAGCTGCTATACAGCTCGTTGAGAAATGAGGTTAAGTTGGTCGCTATAAGCTACTGCCTACGTCCAATGTGTCAGAGCCAACTTCGACCACGTTTTTATTTGAACGCTCGTTATTATATCCAAAAAAATAGGGTTAAAAGGAAGTATGACGTTCAAGCAATTTTATTGCATGAATCGTTCAAAGGGCCATTTTAGATAAAAAAAAACCGCGGAGTTCTATTAAATTAGAGAGTGAAAATTGGAGTTGGGGGTGGAAATGCACCCCTTTCAGTTTTTTTAATTGTAGCTCGAAAACGAAGCAAAATTTCGCTATAATTCATAGGAAAAATTAGATAATTGAATTTCCCATGGAAATAGCTTATTTAAAAAATTTAAAAGGAAAATTTGTGACTTTTAATAAAGACCCTGTAGCTATTGTTTTTTCTCAACTGCTAAAATAACACCCTGTATAATGGTGGTTTTAAATAGAAAATTTCTTCGTTAAATAATAAACGTTTAAGTGAATTTGTTGTATTTAATAAGCGGTTTTACCAGCTAAATTATAGTTATTAGAATGCTAATATGTTTTGGGGATTTTGTTACTATGAAAAATAATTTCATCTAATTACCGTTTAAGATTATAACTGCTATACAAAGCTACATTTTTATGTTGAAAATGTGTATATAGACTTACCTTTCTTTATCCAAAACAACACACACAGAAAGCAGAATCTTTATATTTTTTCAATAATATTGCTCGTTTAATTGAAAAGACTAATTGTACATGTAGAATACTGTTCACAGATATTTGCCCACTAGAGTTCTTTTTTAGTTGAAAAGAACACTAGTACATGCACGTTCAGTTAAACAAAACGCCCGTGTACTAAATGCATTAGTGGTATCTGTAGGCACTAATGTTCTTTTTTGCTAAATAGGCACTAGTGCAAAATTTACAAAAATTGTCGATATTATTGTGGCACGTTCAATTGAAAAGAGCACTAGCACACTAGTGTTATCTAACTATACATGTGTGCACTAGTGTTTTACGGCTAAACGGGTAAACATTTGGCAAAAATTGACTATATTCTTTGCATTTTAGTAAAAATAACATTAGTACACATTAGTTGGAGAAAACAGCCACTAGTGCTGTCTAGCTGATCATGTGTGCAATAACTTTTTTTTACAATTAAACGAAAATTTGTGTAACTTTTCCAAGAACCATTGGCACTTTTTGCACGTTCAGTTAAAAGGAACACTAGTACACACAAAACAGTGTGCTAAATAAGTGTGCACTAGTGTTTTTTTAGTTAAAACGGCAGTTGTGCAAATTGTATGAACATTATTGGTATTTTTGCATGTTTTGTTGAAAAGAGCACTATTGCACGCAATTTCACTTGGAGAAGCACACGTACTAGTGTTGTTCAACTGAATTTGCACGCGCATAAGTTTTCCAATACGCGTCGATAATTTTACTAAGTATACAAAATTATTTTTCTAGCCCTAGCGCCTTCTATTTGACATGATTTAGAAAGCGAGTACGGTAAACTAAAGTCAAAAGCTGAAAGTTTTCTCATCTTTTCTCAAAAATTCCGTTATGCAAAGGCATACTAATTTGATATAGTTGGAAAGAATCAAAGCATGCAAAAAAATGTATACAATCCCATTTAAAAAATACATCAATAACCTCCCCACTCATCTACAGTGTGACTAAAAAAAAATGTTGTGTCTGTATGAAGAAAATAACATACCATTTAAAAATATATATACTTTATAGGGCAAGGATGCACAGACTTATAGGGAACAGGGGCCACTCGGGAAAAATATTAGCCAAGGACGGGCCACTACAAACAATATTTATTAACACAAAATTTTATTTTTAAATAGTATGAAATACAATGATAAAAATAAAATAACCTTCAAAAATGTTTGTTGTAATAATTATGTAATCATTACAATGTAATATTTCTTGTTTTATTATTTTGATGCATGACATTGCATTGAACTAACAAGTTTTTTATATTTGGCTCCACATTACTTGTAGCCACACGTATAATTGCTTCCAAATTTTCATTTGCCAGACCGTTTCGGTTTTTCGTTTTGTTAAGTTTCATCACTGAAAACGTTTGTTCACAAATATACGTCGATCCAAATAAGCTTGCGCATTTCAATGCATTTATTCGCAACTCTTTATAAGCGTTTTTATCAACGCAACGGTAGAAGTTGAGTAAATTACCTTCATTAAATTTGTTTCTTAAATTATCATCATTTTGCATGTCTATTAATTCCAGCTGCATTAATTCCGGCGCATTTTCGGGTGAAATGTTGAAAGGATTGCTGAAAATGTCCAATAGCGGTTTAACTTTTTTGAAGTCTACAAAACGATTTTCAAAAGCTTGTATCAAAATATCAATTTTTTCAACATGAGCGAAATTGACGTCAGTTTTATTGAACTTCTCCATAATTTTTTTGTAGTTCGGAAAATGGCCGTAATTGGCTGAATTGATTTGTGTCCTGAAAAGACTCAATTTGCATTGAAAGGACGAAACATGAGAGTATAGCTGCGAAATCAATTGATCTTTGCCTTGGAGTCGCGTATTTAAGACATTCAAGTGATTTGTGATGTCTACAAGAAACGCTAAGTCACACAGCCAATCAGGGTTGTCGAGTTCGGGGACGTCGTTTTTCTTTTCCGCCAGAAATAGTTGGATTTCTTCAATCAAGTTAAGAAATCGCTGTAGTGTCAACCCACGACTTAGCCACCTTACTTCAGTGTAAAACAGGAGATCACCATATTCGCTTTCAATATCCTCGAGAAATTGTTTGAATTGTCGGTGATTGAGACCTCGTGATTTTATAAAGTTTACGGTAGGTACTACAACTTTCATAACATTTTCAAATCCCAATAATTTTGAACAGAGGGCCTCTTGATGTATAATACAATGAAACTGCATTAATTCCTTGGTATTTATGTTTTTAGTTTGTAAATATGTTTTTAACAGAGTTACTATCCCAGATGTACTTCCAACCATTGAAGGTGCTCCGTCAGTTGTAATTCCAGATATTTTCGTTAAATCCAAATCCATTATAGAACATTTTTCTAGAAGAGCTTTGAGCATGTCACTTCCCCTGGTTTGACTTGTCAAAGAACTCATACCAATCAGTTCTTCACTCACTTCAAAATTTTGCGTTACACCTCGTAAAAATATTAATAGTTGAGCAGTTGAACTTATATCTGTAGATTCGTCGAGCGCTATAGAAAAATACTCAAAACTTCTCGATTTCGTAGCTAATTGCTCTTCTATATTATCTGCTAATGCGGTAATTCTTCTTTGAACAGTCATCCGATTTAACTGAATTTTTTCAAACTTCTTTACATTTTCCGGACAAATTTTTTTTGCGGCGATATCCAAACATTGCTTAACAAACTCACCATCTTTAAAAGGCCGACAAGTTTTCGCTATTATTCGAGATATTTCAAAGCTAACTTCAGTGGCTGTTTCAGCATCTTGAATTGGTTTTGTAAACATAGATTGCTGGCCTATTAGTTCCCGTTGTAAAGTGGAAATTCTTTGCGTTCGATTTTCGCCAGTTAATTTGGTAAAAGTTGGATGCTGGGTTTCATAGTGCCTTTTCACATTATATTCCTTCGGAATAGAAACACTACTCTTGCATATTAAACAGACAATTTTGTTATGCGATGAAATAAAAAAGTATTTTTCGGTCCAAATATCATGAAACTGTCGATTTTCATCTTCAACCTTACGACTACGTTTCTTACTGGGGCCTGGTTTATCCATATCAAAATTAATATTATATGTTACAGTCGGTAAAAGCCAAGTTCGAACGACGAAATATTTACTCGTCACAGATTACAGTTCTCAAACAGTATAACGTTCGCTTATCCGTAGTCAAAACTTAACTGCCCCGGTAGCCGGCGATGCGTCGTATTTATACGAGTTACCAAACATCGAGAACCATCCACTTTGTTCGGGGATCGACGTGTTTCGCGAATCTGTAATCTAGTTGATGCCACAGATTTCTAGTCTCGTAATAATATGCTTGGACCGGAGCGCGGCGAGTAGAATACCTTTAAAATTCGTTGGCGGGCCGCATAAACATCGACAGCGGACAGCATCCCTGTTATAGGGTATCCAAAAATGGGTAACCGAGTTATAGCTTAGGGTCTTTATAATCTAGCAGACAGTATAGACTTTTATTTTTACGTCACACTAACTATTAAGGTAAAAAACAATTAAACATAAAGGAGAACAGCGTATTTGATGTCCTATAGCAATGCAACCAATCGTACTGCTCTAGTTATGTGCATAATAATAAATAATAAGATGAAATAATAAGTCATTTTATATGCAGATAGAATTCATACAGTCACAAAGTCATAATTACTTACGTCTGTTTTTATTTTTCACCTTATAGACTTACAGTCAGGTAGTAGAAACACCACACTACCTTACTACGAAACAAATGAGTCTAAATACGTGATCGGTTAGGAGAGTCTTCTAGACCCGATGACAGCACCAGTTGTGATTAATTCGATTAGTTACGCCAAAAAGAGCAGAGTAACAAACACTTCAATAAAGATCTGATTAGTTGTATAAGTATAATAATAATCATAAAATAATACGCAAACAGTCCTTTTAATGTTGCATATTTTTAACAGACTGTATCTGTTCTAATATTTCCTACATACTTATAATTACAATAGCAGGATTTTACCGTAAACTATGTACCTAGGTAGACTAAACAATGGCTATGTGTAACAGCTAAGAAGAATAATAATCCGAGTATAAAACCAGAGCATTTCATTTTTTCTTCACAACTTTTCAAAGTTAATCCAAATGCCATCTTCAGCCGTAGGGATAAAAGACTTTGTAGACAGTTTTATGGGGACTCTAGTCTTCTTGTTCAAAGTAACCCTGAATTTCCTTAGGATGCTTGTTAATCCAACCTTAGTCTGCATCACGCCGAATCTTTCTCCTAGAAAAAGAAAAGGGAATATATCTTGTGCTTTTATAGGCTTAGAGAGCGAAAACCATAGGTATTTTATTGCATCTGCCTATGAATGGTGTTTTTGTAGTTCGTTTTTGAAGATACCTCACAAAGGGCCATATTTCATTCTGCTCATACCTCACGTGAAGGTAGTTCTAACTTGTATTATGCACTTTCGCAGCGTAAATTGATTATTGCCCCTTTGATGCCCTGACGATTCTATTTTGATCATAAGCAACCAGATCCCATCGGTTTTCCCGGGTATCACTATTTAACAGATCGGTAAATATGCGCTAGAGAAGCAAAAGGTTATCCATTACACTAAATATGCGCTGGATAACCTAAAAGTTATCTGGCGTATATTTAGAATTAACTGAATCTGTTTTAATGAATCTGTAGTATAGGTAATTATTTGTGGCGCTTGAATTACGCATACAGAGCGTTAAGAAAATAGGTTTCGTACATTTAACAGTCGATTCTTTGCCCTATTTTGTCCAAAACAGTTCGGTGCGAAATGTATTCAAAACCTAACCACTTAAGACAGAACTTATCTCCCTCGCATATGTTATATTAAACATTTTGTCGAATTCCTTGACTATTTTAACGATTAATGTAAAACAGATCTTACCTATGCAAATTCTAGGACCTTCACCAAATGGTATGTGGGCGTAAGGGTGTCGTCCTGCTTTGTTTTCTTCGCTGAATCTCTCGGGGTCNGGTTTCGTACATTTAACAGTCGATTCTTTGCCCTATTTTGTCCAAAACAGTTCGGTGCGAAATGTATTCAAAACCTAACCACTTAAGACAGAACTTATCTCCCTCGCATATGTTATATTAAACATTTTGTCGAATTCCTTGACTATTTTAACGATTAATGTAAAACAGATCTTACCTATGCAAATTCTAGGACCTTCACCAAATGGTATGTGGGCGTAAGGGTGTCGTCCTGCTTTGTTTTCTTCGCTGAATCTCTCGGGGTCGAAAACTAGTGGATTTTCGTAGTATTCCTCGTCCGTATGTATAGCCTGAATAGGTATGAAGACTTTGGTGCCTTTTTCTATGACTACATCTTCGCCGGGAATTTTATAGTCTTCGGCAGACATTCTAGTTACGAATGGAAGTGGTGAATAGAGCCTTAGAGTTTCTAAAAAGAAAAATGCTTTTAAAATAAATAGTTCTTTAAGTATCAAGGCTTGTAAGTGTATTTTACAGATAGAGAATACAAAATTTTTTTTATTATAGATTGTTCGTGTTCAAACTAGAAATCTTAATGGAAAATGTGGCAAATAAGCGGTTGGTATCAAATAAAATAAGGAAAGACCCCAAAGAATCCGACAAGGGCCACTTCTCCAGACACTCTTCTGCGACAATTTTAGGTGATTCTAGAAAAGACTTTACTTCTAACAGAAGACATAAGGGTTGTGAGTCTACCTCAGTGGCGGATACGTGGAAGGTTTTGATTCAGCTTATCGAAAAATAATTCTCACACCACAACTGCAGCTTCAGAACAAGATGTGGATTTAGAGATTGACTTGCCTCCAGATCTAGAATAACCTTGATCCACAGTAATATCGGGAATCTCAACTTGCAAATTTCGAACAAACGTACTAGTCCAGTTACTCAGGGTTAATACCTCCGAATTCTTTATAACTGAACCGATTGACGTGACATTTTGAATGAATGTGGGGAATGCCTCAAGGAACAAGACTTATGTAGTGCCGAAGTGTGCTCTTGCCCTGGGGGTGGAAATTTTTACGCCCAAAATAACCACAGGAATCGATAGAGGAGTCAATTTTAAGTAACAAATGTTATATAAAGTTTTTTGGATAATCCGATACTTTCCGAGTACTTCGTCATTGAAAATGTTGATTTTATACTGAAAAAGCGCTTGTTTTCGGACAGTTTTTTGCAAATAACTCTGAGACTATTGGATTTAACGAAAAAGTTGTAATGAACGAAAAGAAAGGTAATAAATAAACAAATCTAATAGTATTATTTTGTTTTTCTCTAATTGCAATATAAACCGAGTTATGGATTTTTAAACATTATAATATGTTAACTAAAAACTAAATTGGAACCAGTTAACGTTGTTAAATAACGCCAAAATCATAAATATTAGGAAAAAACTATTTGAAAATTTTTTAAAGTACTTTGAAAAACCTTTTTAAAAGTCTGTAGAATCAAAATTAACGGAAATATGATCGAAATAACATGATAGTCTCATTTTTTTTCCAAGAAAAAATTAATAAACAAATCAGTGCCTTTGGCGACAGAATTAAAATTAAATGCAATCCATTTACAGATTCCTTCATTTATGTTCTAAGAATATGTTCTGGGTCTTTGGCTCACTTACAAAGCATGATTTAGAAAAAAAACTTAATTTTTGAAAATGTTAATTTTTCAAATTTTTTTTTAAATTCGATTTGTACGCTGTAACTTAAAAATTAAAGGCTGTACGAAAAAAATACAAGAATAAAAAATTTACCTTTATTTTTGCTGAAGATTTTGTTTTTTGTACTCCTCTAAAATTAATATTAATCGAGATATCGCCATTTTAAGTTATCATATGAATGAGAGAACCACCCTCTTCGAGCCCTTTAAACCCTTCAAACTTAAAAATGAAGGGCTTAAAAAAGATCAACTCAACAATTCACGTAGCCCTTACAATTCCCTGCAAAATGAGCCTTTGTGCGATTAAAAATCTTATAGGTGATAATTTTAAGAAAATACATATAAATATATAAATAAATGTAAAGGGTAATTTTTAAGGGTTGAAAAGTTGCAATCGATTCAAAATTATTTTATCAGAAGGGAATAAATGTTGATTTAACACGAGTACACATTTAAAATGTTTCTACTCTTNTATAGCCGCTATTTCATATTTTTTTGAAAACTTTGAGAGGCTGCATCTTCTAAGGGGTGAACATTTTACTAAGATCATTTTTATATGAAACGTGTTCTTTTTGGCTGTAGATCCACCGCTACCATTTGTTCTACTTGTTTTGAAAACACCCTGGATACCATACATAAACGGTAAGAGATACAAACTAGCTTAAATGTAGGAAAAAGTTGCGTAATCAGGGCACCGACATTATGCCCCTAAAAAATCGAGGCTAACATGATTAGTTTTCGAAATATTTGAAAAAAAAAAAGAAATTTTGGAAATCCGTTTTTGTTTCATTTCAGCTTTGTTTGAGGCAATATTGAAAAAAGAAGAACACTTTCTCAGGACCACTTTTTGCCCTCTATCGAATGACATAATCAATTTTTATATGTAACGTTTCTCCTCTCCAGGACCATCATCAACTTCATTTTTTTAAACACGACCCTTTAAATTTTATTACATTTTTTGCAAACCCTCATGACCCCCAATACTGTACTGCCTCAGCGCGAACCAGATTCAGACGTTTTGTCTCGAAAAATTCATCTTCAGTGTATTCGTTCCAAATTTATCTATTTTTTTTTATTTAGATTTCATTGTTTATTGAATTATCGTACACTCTAAGTGTCGTTAGACCCTGTGAAATCTATCTAGTTATTTAAACTATTAATTAATAAGGGTTGAAAGGTTGCAATCAATTCAAAATTATTTAATAATAAGGGAATAAATGTTTATTTAATACGAATGCACATTTAAAATGTTTCTACTCTTTCAATAATATCTTTTCATTTTATTTTCGAAAGAAGGGGTATTTTTCAAGGGTTGAAAAGTTGCAATCGATAAAAAAAAATTAATCAGAAATCAATTTTAATTTGATAAAAATGCACGACTAAAACGTTTCAAGTTGAAAAAAAAAAATTGTTCATCCAAAGGGGTGATTTTTAAAGATTTTTCCGGGGTTGAAAATTTGGGATACATTAAGTTTCATGTTAGATAGCACATGAAATTACTCATACTGCAAAAATAAAAAGGATTTGACTACATAAAATGCTTAAATTTATATTTTTTCTTTTTTTCCAATAAGGGGTCGTTTTCACCCCTTAAGAACAAAAAGCATACCTAGCGCATATATAAGTTTTGAAGTGGGGGGTAAGATGAGCCTAATTCTAAATTTTGAGAAAAATCGATGCAGTTATAAAAAATTCGGAGGTATTACTATATTTTCAGCTACAGTAACTGGGCTA